CATTAAAATTTGTCATGACGTAATATTAATGTTGATCTCAACATGATATCAGGTTATCTAGCACGTCGGTATGAAATTAATTAATGTTAATTGGCAAGTCGTCTTACCTCATTCGAGAGAGAAGTTATAGTCTTTTATTAGTTAGGAAGAGATAAAATTGAAGACTGGTGGCCATCACTCATTCTCATTGGTACCTTATTCGTCTACTTAACCACCAGAGTAGAATGAGAATGATTTCATTGCGTGTCAGTGACACATTGGTAATCTCGCTCTCCTGGCTTTGGGAGATCGGGGTTCGCAAAGGAAATCCCCTTGTGTGCATCCAATTGCGTTGTTTCAGTTTGGAAGAATTAGAGTTCGTCACCGAGAAGGCTCCATGACACTAGAGACTAGATGAGTGCACGAAAACGTGCTCCTTAAGGGGCTTGAGAAGTATAATCTCACCAGGTGGAGGAATGATAGAATCTCTCAATTGGTCTGTAGCGTTCTCATCTTTCTCCTTTGTGAGCACCTGCAAACCCTTTGTCGTAATAGGACAGAGATTTGCTTACATAATACTAAAGACTCTTCCAACCAACGATCTATCAATCTAAAGTAGGTGCTAAAGGCTATACGAGCCACGCGTGTCAACTATATCTACAGTTAAATCATCATCTGTTCAAGATTGAAGGCCACGTAGGTGAGGAAGAGACACTGGGTGTTCCAATTAAAGAAATGCGTATAGATTGGTGCATTGAAAGGCAAAGTAAACTACCGAGTGGGCACATCAGTCAAATACATTTCTGTGGACAAAGTGGGTATTGACTAGGCTACAATAAACCTCTATATGGATTGAGTATACACGAGAGAGGAGATGAGAGGGAAACGTGTGAGCAAACAGGTGACAAGTGTGTGTCTACCTGCGTTTGCGAGCGACAATACAACGACTATTGATGTGTGTCACCTTGAGCAAAAAATATATTTGAAGTCGAAATTGGATAGTTACAGAATTAAGGAGGTTCAATAAACTCGTCTAGACCTGGCGCAATAAAGTTTGAACATAAATAAGGGGAAATGATTTAGTTTCGTATGGAAAGTGACCAAAGAGTGAATCTGGAGGATGCATGGAAAATCATCCTTGATGCGAAAGTCGATGTTAAAAAATTAGGATTTTTTGTGTGAGTTTTAACTAACATAATCGATTGACCGGCATGTACGTATAAATGACAGCAACTTATTCACCAGACATTTTTTATGCTACTACTCTAAGGAGACTATTTGAAATCATTTTTAGGACAGTGGAGGCCTTGCGTCCATACTTGAACAATGTACTGCTTATACAGATTATCTACAGGATCGTAGACCTGGTAGCTCTGGAGACTTGATTGGAGATGCGAAAATGTCTGAAAATGAAACCAGAGAAAGGCAAGTCATTTCGATTAATCAATAGAAAAGGAATGCATTTATAGCCGAATGCGGTCCATTCAAGTTCCTTTTGATGGATTAATTGACAATTTTTATTAACCTATTGGAAGTCTTGGGTGACAGTGGTAATCTTAATACTGGGACAGCATTGAAGAGGACCTAAATAAAGCGATTGGAGGGGGGGGAGTAAGAAGAAGTAGAAAATCCAGGTAGAGTTGCCGTGAATCTACTGAAAGATGAATGGTAACATTTGAAAGTATGCCATTAGCGTGTTATTCCTCACTAGTTTGCCATGAGCTTGGTAATTGTTTGCACCCACATAGTATTTCATTTGGTAAAAAATTAATCTTATTGCTGTCTTAATAGAATATTTGAGATTATGGTGCAATTCTGGACAGACGAAGAGATAACATCAGAATCGATCGATTCAATTATCCAAATTCTCAACTACTCCGATCTGATTGAGTTCTGTTCATTCGAAAAGGACTCCGATGGTACGCTTGATGCTAAGATTGTTTCGTCACTCATCAATCCAGGTGAGTTTTGAAGGCTCCATAGAAAGTATACCATCTGGCATCAGCAGCAATCAGCAAGTAAATCAACTTAAACATATTTAGTGTTGTTCCAAAGTCAGGATCAGAATGCGACCTGGAAACCGCGGTTAAAGATAGCTCTAGAATTGGATCGAGTGGATTTCGTGTTGGAGGAGATATTGAATGATACCAACTGGACGGTGAGCATCAAATTTATCTTTTTTCTTGTATAGACCTCTTT